TCACAGAGAGTTTGCTATAAGACCATTAACTGTATAGTACCAGCTTTGTTATTTTTGTAAGAGGTATAGGAGAATACTTTCAGAAGGTACATTGTTGCAGGGACCAGTGGTTACAGATATAATATCTTGGCTTTATTTCTCTTACTTAAATAGATACATAGCGCCATTACTGTCTCAGGTTGATTTGGACAGAACTTGTACTACTCTATGTTCTATATGAATCAAACATTAATGATGAAAAAAGGATGTTTCAGTTTATATATAAATACCAACATGTCAACATAACCATAATCATATCTTAATAAAACTGGTGTAAAATGTGAAAGAAGGAGTTACATGGATACTCTTGAGAAAGTACAATTAGAATAAGACCAGGTGTTCCCAAGAGTAAGCGTTTCCTGCTTCATCGACGACACCCGCCATGTAAACCTTGGTCAATCCAAGTAAGTAAAGTTATTTTCTCAAATGAGAACAAGGTATAGAACAGCAGAACCAACAGGCAAACTAACGATAAAAACACACGCCAAGATTCATAGCGCATAAAAAATAGAATAATTCTCAATGACAACTGTAAACCATAATTTTCAGCAACCTTGTTCGTCAGTTTCACTGAACATTTAGTAGCCTAACGCATATTAACATTGGACTCATTTTTCTTAGACAAAACGACAACCATTGACACCCTTCAGTTAAAAGCTTCACTGTTCGTATATTTCTCGTATTGTCATTACTCGTGTCATGATAACGATAATTTATTGTAAGTTACGTAACTGTTAATTTTTAGTAAAATGTAGAGGGTAAAGTAATGACTTGTCTGAGGCAAAATTCATCAACAAGAAATGAATATATCGTCTCCCACAAAGTTCAGGAAATATAGCGATACCACACAGCTATAGGAATATAGCATTACCCACAAAGTCATAGGAATATAGCGTAACCCACAAAGTAATAGAAATACAGCGTTACCCTCAAAGTTAAAGAAATATAGTGTTACTCACACAGTTATATAAATATAGTGTTACTCACACAGTTATATAAATATAGCGTAACCCACAAAGTCATAGGAATATAGCGTTGCTCACAAGCAATCGAAGGAATACAAACTTAAACTGGAACAAAAAAAAGTAAATGCGACTTCAGGGGTTTCGTTACGTCGAAATCAATATTAACATACATTTTCTTTTAGACTTTTGATATTGTTTTGTTTAAAAAAAGGGTCTTAAGACGTATGAAATATTAAAATATTTACTTGGTAAAGTATATAAAGGTATACTATAACACAGATGTCTTACATCCAATCTAAGTCTTGGTTATCTCCCCTTAATTGAGATTTCTTGAAATATTCTTATTCAACGATTTACATGTTCATAGTTTTGTGAGTTTTTCCTTTTAAGATAAAAGAGCAAACAAGGCGCCCTCAAAAATGGCAATATTTTCAGTATCTATGTGCAACATTTTACTGAAAAGGACATTGAATGATAATATATTACTCACGAAAAGGTCAGTATCTCTAGAATCCATACGGAGGAAATATATAGAAAATAAAAAATTATAATCTCAATTAAGGGGAAATAACCTAGCAGAAATATGATGGACAGTTCTTATAAAATCTAGTAGCCAGTTTATTCTATAGTGATATCAGTGATATCAAATTGAATATATTCCTACTTCAAAAGTAATAATGATGATCACATAACGACTTCAAAAGACATTTAAATGGCTGGCTTTTACTTGTAAATGGATTACGTTATAGAATGGTTTCTAGAGAACACAAGCAGTGTAACTTACATATAGGAGCTATAAATAGATTTATAATAGTATTGCACCGCAGTGGAAGCAAGTTTACCCGTCATAATGAACCATTAAATATATCTATATCAATCATGCTGGGCCTACCGCAAACCTACATTATACAACATAGTGTCATAAATATAAACCATCTGGTTGATTTCGTTTTAAATCGACAACTTTTCCCTGACATTAGGAAATACTCTAAAAGTATACTACCTTTTATCTGGTATTACGTTTAGACATCGAGAACGCTCTAATTAAGTATACTTTTGTGTTCTAAACACGAAAATGATACAAAACACAAAGACGTGAAGAGTACCTTTCAATACAAATTTAGAATTAGATTTAATGCAGCCCAAGCAGAGAATTAAAATGCGTCATACATCTGTTTTGTCCTTCTGGGACTCGTCAGTGATGCTAAGGGCCTAAATTGTTAAAACACAAGAAGCAACCGAGAAAAATAAGAATTGATCGAGAGGAATGTCTAGATAGGAAGGTGCACTAGCCCAATAATTAGATAAATTTCGTACTTTTTATAAATCGGATAATTTTAGTAGAACGTCAAGACCACCCAGTGCATGTCTTTTCATGCTGCCAGCACTGAGAACTCTTTTTAGTAAAACTGATATTGCACATTAACTGATTGTACTAACAGTTTCAAAACAAAGGTTTATGATACCAAACGTTTCAGACAATAAACTTTTGTTAACGACATGTTCGTAAAAGACGTGGCAAAGTTCTAATTAAAATGGTTGTACAAAAGACACTCGTAAAGGTAACTTTTTACACGATTATGATATAGTAGGGACATATAAGGAATTAAAGACAACTCTATAAAAAGGGCGTATACAAAGGCATTCAAATGAATAGCATCGTTAATACAAATTTAGAGAGGACACAGCAGAGTCATACAATAATTTAATAGAATAGAAACTTTTAATATAAAAATTGCACAAAAGACACAGAAGTGAAAAAAAAACCTTTTTATACAAAAAATGTCCAAAAGGCACACAAGACAATGACACCTTTCAATAAAGAGATTATACAAAAGACACACAAGTGAACGACACCTTTACATAGAAATTCATATATAGATACAGTAGGTTCAAGCAGTGAATGAAACTGCATCATACAGGTTTTTTCGTCCTTCTAGGACTCGTCAGTGATATTACATCATGCCGTTTTTTCGTCCTCCTAGGACTCGTCAGTGATGCTAATAGCCTACATTGAGAAACCTTTGAGGCGAGTAAGGAAAACCCGAACTGTTCTGTTCTTTATTATTGCTAGTCTTTTCTTATCACATGTGTCTAATAATAAATAGATTTGATGAATTAAGGATGAGTCGATGATGCAAAAATGAACAGTAAAAATCTTTTTTTACTTAAGGTAAAATCCATTCTGTATAATATATCTAGCTGACAATTTTTTGATTCGTCATTTTGGAATCTTCAGCAATGCTTAATAACAAATTTATCGAAATACAAAAAATGAAGAAGGGAAATAATGCAAAAATGGTAAAACGGGGAGTTAGATATGAAAGATGAATCAATTACTTAATTAAGACAATTAGGTTATTATTTATTTTTTTTTCAATTTCGTCTTTCGACTTGAATAATACATTTAGGAGAAGGTATACATTTTTGTCAAATCGCGACGAAAAAAAGGAAAACCAAACAAAACAAAGGTTAACACATCAAAGGATAGGATTATTAACCCTATAACTCTTACAAAAAATAAATATAAGATATTGGAACAGTTTTAATTCTCGTCAAGTAAATGTGTATTACTGAAATCGTTGATACTATTTATATAATGAACATGGTTGGCGTGTTGCTTTTAAGCAAATCGAAAGAAGAAAAAAAAAAGTCCACCAGCAGAGTTTTACTTCACAACGACCTTTAACAATAGCAAGCAGTAGATTCAACATGAACCAGACGTAAGGAGTACAACTGCACCATATAATCAAATCAAGTAATAGTTAGCAATAATTTCTACGTTCTCTATTACTGCTGAATGATATGCGGTTGTTTTGATAACCAAAAATATCACGAAAATACCGACAATCAAACAAAATATTAAGTTAAACTAGGATGTACCTCGACCAAAACAGCGGTTTGCTCAGCTGCCGATTCAAAAAGGACCATGAGAACAAGACCAAACGCTCTGGAAGCCTCTTTGAAGCCTTGCATTGTAACAATTAAGCTAAGATAAGGGTTCGTTAAATTTCGACCACAGAAGACAAGCAGAAGAGCTGCTAAGAGATATTATGACGATACAAATACACCGAAGACCTGTGTTTACTTTAGTTATAAGAATCCTATGAACAATAACACACAATCTTGCAATTGTATCATTACTCTCTTGGGATGACAACGGTTTTCATGGGAAGTGTCGTCGATCAAGCAAAGAGGCTTCATCCTCTGAAACACCTAATTTTTCTTGTTTTATTTTTTCCTATTTCATATGTTGCCGCAGTATCATCACATTTTAATGAAGATTCTGCTGACATGTTGGTACATTCCTTGTTGTTAACTAAATACGATTTTACAATTCTATGGGTTGTGAATGAATAAACTCCACTGATGAGTATATACACAGCTAAACGAAGTCGTGTACATTCCTAGCTACACAACAATATTTCTGAATGATTCGTTATTGTCGTAGTGTCAATGATACCAACTACATTAATTATTCAAACATTTTGTGGATCAGTAGATAAAGTACTTTGTCTTTCGGATTACATGTACCGAGACACCTGCCCGGCCGAGGACACCTGCTAACTTTGAGTTATTATCTTGGCAATTTTCCCTACGCTTGAAGAGAACTTCTCCTACAGGCGAATATGTATGATTGTTATACTGTAAATCACTTATGTTTCGCGTTGGACTTATTTTCGCGTTAATACACGAGGAGAATAAATCGCTAGTTCGAATCCTTCGCGATTACTTTTACGAAAATGACTGGATGACATCCATGATGTCTGAGTATTGAAGATTCCATGTCTCTAACAGCTCATTATTCCCAAATTTAAAGTATTTTCTAGACCAGCGTTCATATATTTGCGAATATGTCTGAAGAGGTAAGTTCGCGAAATAAAGCACTCGCGAAATCTAAGTGATTTACAGTATGTTATTTCGTATTTTTTTTGTAGTAAAAGAAAACAAATTTTATTCATTTCTACGTTCGATATGTGGGTTCCATTTACTTACCTCCATGTACACTGCTAAGGGCATCACCATGACAGCAACCATGATGTCCGCCACTGCTAAAGAACAGATGAAATAGTTGGTGGCAGTGCGCAGACTCCGCTCTCGATAAACACTCATCACTACAAGGACATTCCCAAATACCGTGAAGAACGGAAAGGTAAGGAGAAATAGGGTCCAGTATCGATACTCCGCCCCTTCGCCTATCAGGGTCCCATTTCGGGAACCTGTCTCGTTCAACAGAGATATGTTGTTAAGATGTAGGGACTCGTTGCAGCCGACTGTGTCATTATCTTCACACGAAATAAAAGGCCAGAAATCGGAATAACTGAAATCGGTTGTTTCACGGTGAAATGGAAAATTCGTTGTATTTTGTATAATAAAATCCTCGGAATTGATGCCGGTTAAATTTAACTCTCCTCCACCTCCTCCTCCACCACCTCCTCCTCCACCTACATTGTAGTCTTGAATCGAACCCCTATCCATGTTTCCACGACCAACACTACCGTTCAGCATGTTGACCGATTGTATCAGTCTTTTTATGAAATGTGAACGTTTGATATTTTTCTAGATTTGTTTTTACTATCCAATATCTGATTTTTGATTCATTTATTTCAATTTGAGAAAGAAAAAGAATCGTCATCCGATGATTTTAAAATCGACATTTTTTGCTTAACAGTCTCTAAACAACGCTCCTTTATAAGAGATATAGATAAAACACTTTCCAACTCATTACGGTTGATATAAACATCGTGCTGTTTTGTAAAACGTTGTATTTTTTCAAACATAAGTGTCGATTTAATTCCTATAAACAAATTTGAAGTGTTGAGCTCTTACCGTCTTTTCTCAATGACTACCAAACGAATATGTGACCTGTCAGTTTATTGTACAAACTGAAAACTCCAGCACCTGATTCAGAGCCTATACTAAGGCGCGTGCTTGCATGTATAAACACCGTCCAGTACAGCGAATCATATCCTCTTGCTCAGTGTATTGTACTGCCTATTCACAGGCGCTGAAATCTGTTATACCCACTGTGGGCAGTATCACTACACACCAGTAGCTCGTGAGCGCGTGCCTGTCGTATCAGCAGGCTTCTACAACCGGAGACAGCTTTCACAGCCACTATACCAATAAACGGTACAACCAACAGGTGTGCGACAATGGCGATTAGCACTAACAAGCCGGCGCACGGCTATCGCCTGGTGGTGTCTGCTAGGTGTTTCTGTCATAACATATACAATCCTACAGCGCTGTGGGTAAGGTCGCCAAGACTGTGGCAATTAACATGGCCGGACCTGAGAAATAGCCTATGGGACGCCGTATGGAATATCTTCAATAACTTAACGAGTGTAGTATCCCTGTTATATCTTCTGATCCTAGAATTCTAAATATCTCCGGATATGCTGTCTGTTATACACAAACACTTGATATTTCCGTATGAATTCCTATTTCACAGACACTCTATATAATCCTGTTTGTAGAACACATGTCGTTGTTCATTCATCATAACTTAATCTTTGTAGCACACTAATTACAGATATGTATTTTCATATATATCCATTGTGATTCCATGCAGAACAATTGCAACTAGCTTGCTGATTGTCGTTAATTATATGTTCATTCCAACAGCAGACAGATCCGACAATTAAATACCGTGACGTTAATAATTAAACACATAAATGTAAATCCCGTGTTTGGGTCCTGATTATTCCGTTATTGAATAATGAATAACAGTTTCCATATACGTCATACCACACTGAGCATTGTCCATTAAAGAGGTGATAATGCGCTACAATGGTCACTATGGCAATAAGGTAGGGCGTTATCAAATCATTCCATCATATATTCCAACAGTCCTCTGCTACCTTGATAAGGAAATCAGTATCTAGATACGAATGTTTAAATAGAATTGTTGATATAGTGTTTTTTTTTGTTTCTATACCATACCAACAACACCATGAGGCTCCCTCTCTGCATCAAGTCAAGTCACTCCACATCAATTGAAAAATAAACCTTTTCAAGATGTTACAACTTGAAACCTTTGTTGATCTTTTTTGTTAATGCATGTTTCCATGTTAGATATGTTAGATTGGAATCACAGATGTGAAGTCTACTTTGTCATCAAAGTAATATATAATTAATGACTATATCAGACACGGCTTCAGCAAAATTCATTGACAATAAACAGTACACGTTAAACATATCAATATATAAACCGCACATGCCTTTGCCAGTGCCACTGAAAACAGTCAAGTTCAAGGAAAATCTCCAAGTCTTCCTGAGCAAAGTAGTGGAATTCCTGGTTGTCCATATGTGGGAAAGTCTTTAATATCTTTTGATTTCAATGATTCCGTTATTCATTCAGCTCCACGAGGCGACTTGTTCCGTGTCGGTAAAACGTCAAATATATCTATCTTTAAGAGGATATAAACAGTTTGCTTTTCAAATAAAATTCCTTCTTGGTGGCGGTGAAGTGAATACCTGCACGTCCAGATGTCTTACTTAACTCTCTCTTATCTTCATATTTTTTGAAGATTTGGTATCACAAGAGTTTTAATTTCATCTAGTCTTTCATCTAACTGTATCTTATATATTCATGGAAGTAAAACTATCAGAAGTACTTCTGGTCTTACAGACACATTTTAAACAAATTCCATGGAGTTTTTTCTCCAATCAATCATACATTTCTTCCACGATACTCAACACTTCCTGACAGGTTTCTTGTACTAGAACAGGTGAGGCCACGACACCGATATCTCCTCCGATTTAATCTCTATTGCAAGAAAACTGTAGTCTTCCTATATTTCATAGATTTAATGGCAGAGAGTGGAAACTCAATCCATCAAAAAATCATTACTTTCTTGATGTATCGGATGTATTTTAGTAGAAGGTCTCAAAAGAATGCTGACGCCTTTATAAATGTTTGTGAATAAGAAGGTTGTATCGGTGCACGTCCGGGATATCCTAAAAGAATACTTGACACTGAATAGGACTGTTGATGAGACGCATTACATTCTGACAGTGCTGATAGTGTCTGACTGGAATTTCAGACACTGATATGATATATGACGTCAGCACGAGGAGTTAGGCTTATTGTACCAAATTCATACTTGGACTACCAAACTGCCAGATTTCTGTAATTCCTGATAAAAATTCACTCTGGGTTTTGAAAGTTATAAAGAAGACATTTCAACTGGAGAATCAAAGTTTCTGCTTCCCGTTTATTTAAACTTTTCGAACTGCTTGAGTGAAGTTGATTTTCTGCACCCGTAAACCGAACAGTTTTTAAAGCTCAGATAAAAAATGTTAGGAATTGTCATACTTCGAACTTTTTTATCATAGCACAGATAAAGTACATATCACAGATCGCAAGATGTCTTTCTGACATTTTACCGTAACATGGATAATCCAACCATCTTGAAAAAAGACCATGAAAAGAACACAAATGTTACCATGTCAACCCAAATGTCAAGGGAAACGGTTGTCTTCAAGGTAAACAAATCTTGTTGAGGTCATAATCCTGTTGTTTTGACAAATGTAACATATGATTGATCCTTTATGTTGAACACTGGGGCACATTTCCTAGCACTATTTCAATAAGACGATTTAGAATATTGTTATCTTGGTAAGGTTTCATACGATTCAAATTCCATGTTGAATCACCTAAGTTGCAGGATTGACACATCTGAAAAAGCTGTCAAATACATACAGATGTAAATGTTTGTTTACATTACACACCCTTACTTTTGTGCTGATTAAGCATATTTCTTATCAATATGAGTTTATACATATATTTTTATATGCATCCATTTGCTAAATATAGTTCACCCTGAAAGCTTACTATATCCTCAGAACATGACAAGGATACGCGATATCACAAGACGTTTCGCTGAACGAGTTTGTAAATTAATTTACTAATTAGCTTTGAGAAGGACGCGAACCAATACCACCGCTGGGATTTGAACTGTCAAAGTCGACATGATTGGTCGAGAGGTATGACGGCAACTGAATACAGATAGCGGACGAATCAGTTCACCCTTTATATGATAGCAATGCCGTTTCTCGTTATTGTCGCCAGGACACAGCTACATTCACCACAGCCTGTTGTAAGAGGAATCTCTCTTTGTCCTGACACAATGTATTCACTAACGTAGCTGTCATGTGCCACAATTATTTTTTTCCTTTACGTTTCTCTCCAAATATCCGTCATCTATTGCAGACGTTTCCTCTCTGATGCATTTCCTTTCTCGTGAAGCAATGTGGCGCATGTGAGTCACGTGATGTCTTGTATATAACGCTGGGAGTATCACTGATGGGAACAGCATCCACTTACCAACCTGCAAAATAAGGAAAGGCCTGTCATGTTATTTTGTGGTGACTTTAGCAAAAACAATTTGATTTCTAATTCTGTTAATCTACTGCTCTTAGCGTCTACTGAATCGCTATTTTTCACTAAATTAGACAAATTCCCGATCAATTTTGCAATATGCACTTCTATGCACTTTACTTATGATTCTAAGAAAACAGGTCTGTGTGTATTTTTCGCGGGTGGAATACTTCCTTGAAAGCTGCAAATTTATACAACATGCTAATATTAGCAAGTTTGCATACGCGGATCAATATGAGTTCATTAATTTGGAATTTATTTTGGATTCATTTTCCTGTAAATAGTCAGGGTCATTTTGAGGCGAGATCTTGTGAAAACTAATGACTACTTTCTTGAACAACATACGGGAGGTCCGTTGAAGACATTTCAATTGGGATAAAGTGCATGTTTACCAAAGGACACAATCATTTCACCACAAATCGCATCCGAAGAGTAGCGTCGAACAACACAACTCAGATTTTCATCTAAGTTTTAATAGGATAACGCCATTTTGGATTGCTGCCATTATTACATATTTCTTTCAGCTTGAAACCACTTTATCAAATTACTTCGTTGCATCTTGGAATATTTTTTAATTAGATGACTTGTTTCATTGTATTTCTTTGAATGGTCAAAAATTTGTAAACCATGATTGTGTTCTAGTAACCTAGATTTTATCCTTTTACCAACTTCCTTATCTATAACATTTGAAAAAAAAAAATTTACATTAAGACACATTTGTTTTTAAACTTAAAGGTATTCTTTGCCCACATTTATTACTTTTCCTTTCTAGTTATTTCTATATATCAAAAAGAAAAAAAAAACTTTAAAACCTCTGTAGATTCCTAAATGTTAATACTACGAAGGAGATAATTCAGAAACATCTGCGTTTCGACAATAAATTTATTATGGCTTTGTTTCTGAAACTGGATCTGAAGAAAAAACTCCTTGAAGAAAAATTAATGACAACGAGGCAATACGTTAAACAAAAGAACAAGTTTAAAGTAGAAAAGGTGAACTGGTATATAGCAAATGTTCGGGTTCAATATCTCATACGACTGAAGAATGGCCTTGACGTATCTAACGGATGTTAAACCATCGGGTTTTATCAGAATGATATGATTTATGGGTGAGTTTGTAAATTAAT